GCCTTGGTTTTATCAGACTCTCAGCTTCATCACCTCAACTCAGGAAATCTGGTAGACTCTCCCTCAGTCTTTTAGTCCTTTCTTTCTGAGTCATGGCCTGGAAAGTCACTCAAGGCAGGAAGCAAGGGCATTCATAAGGCTTACTCCATTCTTTTCATGTCTGTCAGGGATTGTTTTCTTCATTGCGTGAACTCCACTATCTCAAAAATTGTTTCTTAATGTATTTTGGAAGACAACTAAGCTAACCACTATACCACCAATGCTGTTTAATATATTTTGTCTCTTCAGTTTGGGGTTGTTTTAGGTAGGAGGTAGATCAGTGTCTGTCACTTCATCTTGGCTGGAAGCACACTGTGATGGAGCTTCAGCACACAGTGTAGACTGGCTGGACTGCTCTTCTCCCTCTTTGCTTAACTGCTTCCTGCTCATCCTTCCTTTCTGAGTGCAGCCATCACTTCCTCAGGGAAATCTGCACAGGGCCCAGTGTAGATTAAGTTCTCTTATGTGATTATAGAACTCTGTTTGTTTACAGCCTCTATTTGAAGTACAGTTGTCTTTTTATTTGTCTTTTTTCTCCACTAGACTTGAAACTAAACAAGAGCATGTGCCTTGTCTGTTTTATCTGCAGAGCTTAGTGTAATGTCTTCCACATTGCAGGCACTCAATAAATATGTTTTCAGTGTGTGAATGAGTGAATGTGAAAATGCATAGTCTTCTGTGTACAAAAAGTACTCATAGATTTTATTTCTATCATGTTTTCTCCCTGGTACAGATTCCGTGAGCCTATTAAAAATGCAGGATGCAGTTCTTTCATATGAAAGGGCAATAGAACTTAAAAATAATGATTGTGCACTAAGAAGAAAAGTTAAAAAAATTGAAAATAAGGTTAGTGGACTACAAAGGGGACTATCAGAAAAAAAAAAATGAAGCCACAATTAGAGCATGAAAAAGTTCAATGGGAACAAGAACACTTCCATTTGAGGTATGAAATCCTACTTTTCAAGAATTGTTTGAACGATTTACTTTATATAAGATATAATAGGAGATGTTTTGTAATTGCTGTCTTACCTTCAGAGATTTACAAGGAGAAAACTTGTTAGTCTCATGGTGTGTGAAATCCTTAGAAATTATAAGTTCTTAACTGTGAATATTTCTACTAATAATTAAATGAATATTCTTTCAAATTATAATTGTAATGGCCATATGGAAGTCCATCTTATGCAAATCTCTTTATTTAACAAATTGAACTTTGGATTTTTTTATATTACAATTAATGCTGGAAGGAACATCTCAGATATGAATCATTTCATACATATTTACTTTGCTTAAATTTTAAAATACAGATTTATTTGGTTAAAGAACAGGAAATTTTTAAAAAGGTCTTTGATCAAGACTTCTAAATTATTCTCAAGAAAATTTATGTTAATTTACAATTCCACCAACACTGTATTAAATGGCCATTTTTATCAGCCTAGATAATGTCTTAGGAAATTTGTATAGTTTTATTCTTAACATGCATAGAATAGAAAGTAAAATGGAAAGTGATTACTGATTATTTTATTCAACATCTCTCTCATACATTAATAAAACTAACTCAGAGTTCTATGTTGAAAGCACATATTACTGTCTATTGTTCAATTCAATATTAGATTCTGGCCTATTTCAAAAAGGATTTTAAAATTATTTGTGAAATACGTAATAATCAACAAGATAAGTTGAAAGTGTTCCAAAAAAGAAGCATAAAAAGTGTGGTATAACAGACTCATCAGCCTAGTCTTGGATTAAAATGATCTGCACATATATGTTGTGGGAAAGACATCTAAGCATCTATCTTACACTGTAAATGATTTTTAGGAATACCTGTAATATTTCAAGAAGATGAAGTTTTATTTCTAGTGAATTTATAAACTCGTTTATAAACTTCTTTTTAATTAGTTAACTCTCAATTATCTGTTCTGAGGAGTAATTATGACTAATTATGTGTGAGAAAAAGTTAGTTTTCAACTTGTAACTTCACTGAATGATTTCAAAAATAATTTTTCAGGGCCGGCCCGGTGGCACACTGGATAGTGCGCCGCTTGGGAAGTGCAGTGGCGCTCCCGCCGGCGGGTTCGGATCCCACATACAGGCCGGTTCCCGCTCACTGGCTGAGCGAGGTGCGGGAGCAACACGGAGGGTTGCAATCCCGTTGCCGGTCCCCGGTCCGGTACGGGGGCAACACTGAGGGTTGCGATCCGTTGCCGGACACGGAAAAAAAAGACAAAAAAAAAATAATAATAATTTTTCATACTGTTTCCCAGAGTTACTAATAACAGAAACTTAACAATTGACAGCATGTTCTTCCATTGCTCCCTTTTAAGTATATCTGTCCTTTGGAAGATATTAAAGCAAGGCGTTAAATATATGAGAACTAGAAAGGAAAAATATTCAAGAAGCTAGAAATTTTATAAGGAAAATAAACCAACATATGAAGAGCCAGATCACAAAATGAACTCATTTTAAGACAAATTGTAAGATAAGTATGTTTAACTGCAGATTTGCCTTAAAACAAGAAAAGGAAAAGAGAAGAGATGCTGACATGTCATGTGACAAACTTAGTGAGCAATTACCAAGAATGGAAAAGCGGCGCAGTGAAGACACCGCAGTGACACGACGACTCAAAGTGACTCTGAGGACACGAGATGTGGAACTGAGGGCTGCCAGAGACAATCTGAATCGGGTAAATTAATCTGTGATAAAAATTTTTATTTTTAATTTTATTTCCTCAATATTACTTATAACATCTGTTTATTTTGATATATATTATTTATTTTTAAAATAAACCAAAAATATTCTTATTCTAAAAATGGCCTGTGACTATTTATTGTAAATTATTTATTGAAAAATTATTTATTATTATAAATCTTGCCATTTAATAGATGCTCAGTATATGTTTTCTGAATGAAGTAATGAAAAGTTGAGTTCAATCACTAACATAAATGCTAATTTAGGCATTTTTATGTTAAAATACAGGCTAAATAACTTTGAAAGTATAATGAAACTAGTTAAATGTTTTGTAAGGTAACTTGATTTCACAATACTGTCTGCTTTTTTTTTGAGCACTGTTTTTACTCTGACAAATTTAGGTGTCATTTATGCCATTAAAATTTGAGTAACCTGTGTGAGGTAAAAGTCCTTGTGCTTTCAATAGGCTATTTCCTTTCAACAGTTTTTTTGAAGAAGGTCCTGCTCTTAATTAAGCTTCTAGAATTCCCCGCCCCCCCATGGTATGAGACCAAAAACTCAATGAAGTGTACCGCCAGCTTGGAGAAGAGCGAAATGACATCCAGAGGCAACTTTCTCAAGAACAGAATGCCAGAGTCTTACAAGATGGGATTCTGACCAGGCACCTGTGCAAAAAACAAGAGAGCTAGAAATGGCTCAAAAGAAAATGAATGATGAGGTATTTTCTTCAGTAGTTTTCAAATATGTGTGTGCATGCATTTATATGTGTATGTATTTAAAACCAATTACATGCATCATGGAAAGTAGAGAGGATTTTTAAATCATACATGCATATATGTATTCTGAGGGTGGGGTTGGGGGTGGCATTTTTGGCTCATTGGATAAAGTAGTGTTCTAAAGTCAACTCCACTTGTCTGCCACAGTCAGGTAGTGACATTCACAGTGGCCTTATCCAAAGGAGAGGCTCTTAATAATTTCCATAGAAATTGATAATCCTTTCATACCTAAAAACCCTTGCTACTAACAAGAGATGTTCTAATTTTGGGCAGCCATTTCACCCCCTTTATATATTAATATATATATATCAAATTCCCTGCCCTTCAGGGAATTTGAGGCACCCACCACCAGCTTTCAGAGGTCATAACAAAGTGTTTTACAGTCATGGTCTTGGCTTCAACTATAGACCATGTTTTCCTGGCAGCACAATGGAGTTGATCTTCTCCCAGCAGCCACTTATTTTAACATTATTTGACAATTTGACATGTGGAGAGGCTGCACATGGTAAACAGATATTTGAACCCAGGATATAAGTCCTGGTTTCTTTACATTTAAGAGTCTTTATTTAGCCTCTCTCACATCAGCTTTACTTTGGCCTCTTTGTAGTAAGAGTCGCTTTCCTCCAAGCCTCAGTATCATTTTCTTCACTGGCATTGAAACCCTTCTCGTCAGCCTCTTCCAGGGCCATCAGGCTCCCACAAACAGACTTTTGAAGCCCTTTTGGGTTTCATTCTTACTCTTCTCCAGGTCCTTTTATCTTCCACCAGCTCCTGGTCCAAAGGCCTCTTACAAGTTTTGCTTGTGTTTTGGGGGGGCGGGGTTTGGTTTGGTTTTTTAATGGCAGTGTGCCATTTTTAGTATTAGTATCTGTGCCAGTTATTTATTGCTGGACAATATACTACCTCCAAATTCAGTGTCTCCAAACAGCATTTATATTATTTAGAAACCTGCAGTTTGGGCTAAGCTTAGTGGGGTCATCTTATTTCTTGTCCACTTGGCATCAGCTGGGGTGACTTGAAGCTGGGCACTAGAACCTTCCAATGGCTTCTTTGTTCACAGTTGTTTATCGGCAGTTCAAGGTCACTTTTGGCTGGGATTTAGCTATGGGCAGTTAGCTGGAATACCTACCTGAGGGTTCACCTTGTGGCCTGGGCTTCCTTACAGTAATGGTGGCTGGATACTAAGGTGAGCTTCCATAGAGAAGGATAGTCATGTGGACACTGTCACATTTTCTAACTTTGCCATAAAAGTCCCACAGCAGTTCACCATATTCTATTCACTAGAAACCAGTTACTAAGATCACACTAAGCACATATTCAGGAGAGGGAATTTCATGGTAGAAATGTCAAAGATTTTATAGACATGATTCAAAGCCACAATGCCACTGACCTTTTCTTAATCATTACATTTAAAGGAACATAGTTCTTGCTAACTCAGTATGACTGAAATTCCAGCAAGTTGTTTAGTGTGCTCCCTTATTTTGTGGCAAGTGGCAAAGGATTACAGTATGGTGCTAATTGAGTTAAAGCATTTTTGTTCAAAAAAATGTGTGGATCGTGTCCCAAAATATTATATTAAGAGATATATGTGCTATTTAACCCTCAGAAATATTATGTAATCCTTTGAGTACCACTCAAATCAGCATAAAACACTTGGAGTTCAGAAAACAGCTTATGGCATTAGAACTTATATTTGCAAGTTTTATTAATTAGAGTCATTTTCAGTCTCATACTGGGAATCATTTTTTGACTCAGGCCTAAGTAACTCAATATAATGGCCCTAAAACTTCTTTAGTAATTATGGAGAGTAAAAATGGGAAATAGGGATAAGACTTTCTACTAAGAGGTGATTTAGAATCATTTTCAGGAGGAAATACATGAAATAGTCACAGACAAATAAAAGTGTATGATTAAGTGCAAATGGGTGGAAAACACGATGAGAGTAAGGAATGTGTTTGCCCAGCTTCTGATGGTTCTAACTTGGCTCTTGATTTTCTGAGTAATTTAAGGTCCACATTCTAGGAATCTATTTATAGTATAGAGAACATTTCATTGCAACTGAGTTTATTTCAAAATTTGTTATTGTTTTTGAGTTAGACTATTCTCAGCCTACTTCCTTTATTACCAAACCATATTATTTCATTCCTGCAGGTTGATGGTCTTACAACACAACTGGAAGCTACATCCTCAAAATGTCTACATCTGGATGAAAAGAATCAAGTTCTTCAACAGGAGTTACTATCTCTGAAAACAATACCAAAGAAATGTGAAGAACTAGAGAAGGAGAAAAAGAAGTTGGAACAAGTAGTAGTGATCCTCAAAAGCCATATGGAAATGAATGTGGTAGAACGTGGTCAAATAGAGCAGTATAAGAGGGAGATTGAAGAAAGAGCAAGACAGAATATAGTAGAAAAATTAGAAGAAGTCAATCTGTTTTTACAGGTTAGTTTAATTATCTGTAATGTGCCTTAATTCATTTCAGTGCAGATTATATTTTGCATATATACATTGTATGTGTTTGCTCTACTTCCCTTATAGCTGTTTGTCTTATAGATTTCTTGGAGGGTGATTTCTGTTTTTCCCTGTAAACAGTTCAGTTTCCATCATTATTACTAAATTGATCTTGATTATTAAGACCCGTTGGCCTAAAACTGACTTTTAGGAGAAATAGAAAACATTGTGATTTATAAATTATATCATACTCTTGAATTATTCTTAAGTTACATTGTTCAATTTTTAAAATTGTAAATTGATTCTATTATTCTTTGAATTATCAGGTTACATGAATCCTAACACAAGGATGACTCAACTTCTTTTGTAATTCAGATTTAATTAAGTTGAGATTGATGATAAATATTTTAAACTTTAGCTTCTTTTTCACATATTTAAAATAGCTCTCTGAATCACTGATTCAAATATAAAGGAAACAATTACACAATATTTATTCAGGATATAATTATTTTTAAAATGTATCTTATTCACTTTAGGAACAAGCAGCATCTCAAGAATACTTAGAAATGGTCATATGCTTCAATAAGACATCACATGGAACTCAGAATTAAAAATCTGGAATTTGAACTCTTCAAAATGAAAAATTCTGGAGATGATTCTCATGAAACAGAATTGGGAAAATATAAGCAACTTATCTAGAATAATGAAAAGCCAGAAAATCAATGTCAAATAAGTTAAGCAAGTAAGTCAAAACATAAAGTCAAAGACAATAAATTAAGCTCATTAATTTGCCTCTAAAACATAATTTTTACTGAGACAGGTTCATGAAATTACTAGAAAGTGAAAGAATATAATTTTGGAAAGTGATGTTAATAAATTCCTTTTAAAATGTTAGTTTGGGCTTCCTGGTTAGCTCAGTTGGTTAGAGCACAGCCTCGTAATACCAAGGTCAAGAGTTCAGATCCCCATACTAGCCAGCCACCAAAAAAAATAATAATAATAATGATTTGGAAAATTACAACTTAAATCTAAAGGGTCCAGTACTACTTACTCTCAGCACTTCTGACACTTGGGAAATTAACTTTTGTAGAATGTGATCTTCAGTGTTACCACTAGAGGGCACTTTAAAACAAAACCATTTTTTTTTTTTTTTTTTTGTCTTTTTTCCGTGTCCGGCAACGTTGTCTTTTTTCCGTGTCCAGGTCAAGAGTTCAGATCCCCATACTAGCCAGCCACCAAAAAAAATAATAATAATAATGATTTGGAAAATTACAACTTAAATCTAAAGGGTCCAGTACTACTTACTCTCAGCACTTCTGACACTTGGGAAATTAACTTTTGTAGAATGTGATCTTCAGTGTTACCACTAGAGGGCACTTTAAGACAAAACCATTCTTTACTGACTTTTCCAGTCTTCATAAAGGCATGCTTGTGAAATAGGGAAAGATGAACAGAGATGATGGGAAGTAGAACTCACAAAGTGCCTAAAACTAACATGTTGGTCAGCCTGATGTGTTGTGTGGAAGGCAGAAAAGGCAGGTCCCACCTCTATGCCTTGGTACCAATGTTAGGAGCTAATTGCCTTTGCAGCTGTGTCAGTTCATTGTGATGGCCAACTCAGCTAGCTCATCCTCCCCTAGAACTTGTTGCTCTGAATCCTTCCTCAGTGCCAAATGCTTCATTGCTCACAGGTAATGTTTGAAATGTACAAGGGTGGTGAAAGCAAATGCTTGAAAATGTCTTCAAGGGACAGTTTTTAAAATCTCTGAACTGGTTTACTATGAATACAAGTATTTCTAGCTTTTTTATTTTTATGTTTTAATCGTATATAGTTAAGGAGTACAACATGATGAGTACAACATGATGTTTTGGTATATTTATACATAGTGAAATTGTTATTATAGACAAGCAAATTAATATATCCATCACCTCAAACAGTTACCCTTAGAAACAAGTATTTCTAATGGCATCCTTAATAATCTGCTAAGTAGAACAGTTACCTGGTAAACCATACATCCTTGACAGCCCTTTCTCTCCTTTCCCAACTTTGTGTAAGTTACTTGTTCAGAGTCCCTATAGAAATATGCGTACTTTAGAATGATTTTAAACATATAATTGTATACAGCAGGTATGCATTTTCAGTGTTAATACATTGTTGAATTGGAAGTTCCATTTACTATTACAGCAACTTTTTAAAGAGTGCATATCATTTAAGAATCACTTATGGAAAAATGAAATACTAAGCACTTGTCTATTCTAATCTTCACAGGGCTAATGAGAGGCTAGCAGTGGTCAGTACTCACTTCTAATGGAAAAAGAGCAGCACAGTTCTTTAGTCAGCACTCCTACTCTTACTACGAGACCTGTCCTCGAGTCCCCTAGTGTTGGAATTACTAATAATCATTTAGTACTCAACAGAAATCATTTTCTAAGAGAAAACTTAGTGATTCCTACCTCAACCCTATGGCCTTCAAATAACAGCTTGGAGAACTCCTTGGCCACAGTTGATCTCTTTTCCTTTGGCTTTCAGATTTCTGATATAAGTCTTGTTTTTAATTTGGTGAAATACTGAGGTGTATAATTGACTTAGGTATATTAAGTAAAGGCCATAATGATCTGTGTTAATAAAGGAAGGAGACAGAAGTTTTACCTTTTTTTAAAAAAGTCACAAGCTCATTTTTAAGAGATACCCATTTGTTAACTTTATTCAATAAATATAACTAAGCTGGCATATTTTATATTTCTTAAAAAGCTGCATTTAATTACATTTTAGAAATTGAATATTATCTCCTAATAACTAAAGGTGTACTTTGAGATGCTTTGGCTTACTTTCTAATTGATTTTAGTTTGACTGTGGTTCATAACCCTTTTAAAGTTTTCCTGCACCACCCCAAGTTTCCACCCCTAACCATAAGTGAGTGATTGGCATCCAAACACTTAACCGCACGTGGGTATGTGTGACTTAAAGGAATCCAGGAGAAATCCTTTTTATAAATTAAATAAACCTGTAACACTAAAAAGGTTCATTTCTGTTTTTAAGTTAAAATTTTTGTGATTTTCTTTCATAAGAGTATATCCTTAATTCCTATTTTACTTATAGCATTTTTATTTTAACTGATATAAAATGTGTCTATTTTGGGGCAATTATACATTTTTAAAATAGTTTCATCAAGCAAATATTCGAATTTTTAAAATGCAGTCCTCTTATGCCTGTGTTGCCATCATTGAACGATTGATGGATAAGATGGCAATGATATCAAGAGTCTTTAAATAGCAACTAGGTTTTGTTGTTATTACAGTATTCATTTTACTCAGTGCACTTTGGCTATAGTTTTGATAGTGTTTTCATGATCTTCTGTATTCAGAGAATAAAGGTGTTTAAATACACATATGGCTCTTCGATCAACAAGCTGTTCCCCAGTTCTTTTCTCTGTGACAAAATCCATGTGTTTAATATTTACTAATTAAGTGTAATTTCCTTCATACATGAACCTATTTACAATTTGATATTGAATTGCAATTGTTTCAATCGGCAAACATTTGATTTTCTTATATTTTAGTGCATATTTCTTTTTATAACATTTTAGTGCTCCTTAAAATAGAAAATATCATATTTTAATTTTGAAACATCAGTAGTTACTGAAAATATATTAACTATCAAAGAGTATGTGTGTGGTGTATGTATTTACCAAATTGGTCTCAAAAAGAGGATGTAGCATTATTTTCCAACCTATGTTCTCAAGTATAATTTAACAGTAGCCTGTCAATAAATTATTGGTGAATGAGTGAACGTATGTTTGTATATGTTGTGTTTTGCTATTTCACTGTATTTCCCTTTCTAAAATTTTCTCTTCAGCTCTTCTGCTCTTTAAAGTGGGGATTGTTTTGAAGAATGTACAACGTATGTTTGTATATGTTGTGTTTTGCTATTTCACTGTATTTCCCTTTCTAAAATTTTCTTTTCAGCTCTTCTGCTCTTTAAAGTGGGGATTGTTTTGAAGAATGTACAGTGAGAAGATAAAGTCAAAGAAGAAACATTTCTACAAGTGCTGTACAGTCATCTTTCTTGTTGGAGCTGTGATAGGGTAAGCAGCAAATGACACTCCTTTTTTCCCTTCTGAGTTCAGAAGACGGGAGTGAGACAGGTGGACATCAACATACTAGCTTTATTCCTAACACATCACACACAATAGGAAGATGTGGCTTAGATGTGCAACCACGTTGGGCTTCCATACTTGAGCCCAAGTCAGGCACTAGCCCACACAACTGTTAAGTAGAGAAAACAAATGCTTAACAGCCATTTCAGAAGCACACTGCTTACTGCCGAGATGACAGAAGCCACTAATTCATGTTACCGTGGGCAGACAGGTCTTTTCAAAGAAGAGGTAACGTTATGAGAAAATTCCAGGTCCCGCTGGCTACAACTGGATTCTCAGTGTCTCAGACAAAAAATTGGATGAGACACACCGGAAATGAAAATTAAAAGCAGTTTTATTTAGCAAAGGAAGAGTACACTCTGGAGAAAATGGAGTGGGCTAGAACAAGAGAGGAGAGTGCTCAAGAGCCCCAAGGGTTACACTCCTGGGGTTTTAACTCCTCTCAGCTGGATTCATGCCATTTGGTCATTGGCTGATCCTGGAATGTAATCTCTGTCATATTGGTTAAAGAAATTGGTGCCCTAGCTGGTGGGGACTCATTGGTCTAACCGAATGGCACCCAAGGTGGGGGGGCTCCCTGTCTGGAATTGTCTTCATCTCCTGTGGTCGCTTCTGCACATATGCATGCCTGCTCAGAGAATCGATTGGTCCTATTTGCAAATAACCAGTTTTCCCTTCTCCCACTCTTGTCTCTATCTAGCTTCCTACCTCAGTAAGGAGCCAAAGTAGGTGCACTCAATGTGCTTCACCCAAATTCACCCACTGGGTAAGCCTCTCTTCCCATCATGAGGAAGGTACAGAGTGTAATCCTCACATGGAAACCTGAGGCCAGGAAAATGAGGGTTCTCTTACCAACCATATCTGCCTGGATTTATGTGGACCAACTAGTGATGAGAAGTTGGACAGAAGTATGCTAGGTGGTAAAGAGAAATCTGTTTTATGCTTTTAATTATGTCATGAATAACACACTGTCTAGATCTTAATCCTGTTTGTGACGCCATTTGTAAAGCTAGGTGACCACTCTAGTTGTTGGGTTCTTTTACCTGCTGGTAATCCTGCACCGACTGGGCTGATTGTTGCACTAGGTCTGAGTCTGGAGCTCCCAGACCCCTCAAGCCCATTCACAGACAGGGTCACAAACCCTTCACATGCCAGGCTGGGTCACCAGACCCCACACACACCAGGCTGGGTCACCAGACCCCTTCACGCAGATTTATGAGCTAGGTAACCAGCCAAAAGGTCCTTGGAGCCATAGGTTGGAAAGCATGGCTGCCTGGGACAGATGCCTGAGGCTGACGCCTGCCCACCTGCTTCACTAGAACTCCTCTCTACCTCTCTCCCTCTCTCTCTCTCTAAAGAACACAAGAATAGCAACAAAACTAAAAAAATACACTGGCGCACATGCGCATTAACTCCACACACACACACACACAATTTGCTTACAAAGGATGCTGAACTACACCCAAGTGGACCCAAGGCAAGGGCCCTGACCAAACTATTCTATTTTCCCAACACACACAATGTGGATAAATTCATTTGTTGACTGCTTTTGATAAACGGAGTTTTATTTGGAAAAAATGAATAATTCTATTAAAGAATTTAATCAATTTCACTTGCTTAGGTCAACAAAAGATTTATTCTTTCAAGTTCTCTGTTCTGTGGTTTAAAAACTTTGTGGTTTATAGATTAAGTATATTGATGGCCACTAACAGAAGATATATGTATTTTGTCTAAATTTTATTTAAAAACCTATATATTTTTCCTGAATATGAAGGAAGTAACTGGCATAGAATTCCAGACTCAGCAAGAAGACTGAGAGCCCATTCCTGGCCTGTAGCAAATAGGCTTCGTGACCTCAGACAAACTATGATCTCTCTGAGCTTGTGTGGCCTCTTTTGTAAAATTAGGGTCTTTGACTAAATCAGTGACTTTCATACCTTTTCAACAATGTTTTATTAAAGAATAGGACATATCTTTCATTAAAAAGGGAAATTTGCCCGAAACCATATTATATAGAACAGACAGAAGTAGAGCCGACTGGCTAAAGGAGGGATGAGGGTCTGAAGCTGTGACTTTCTTATCTCTTCATCCTGCAGTGTTCTTTGTGGACCCTTAGATTTCTCTGGTAGTAGTTTGAAAACCACACCACAGAATCCTTCTAATTAGCTAAAGTTCAGGGTACATTTTTGTCCTATGTATAATTTTCTCACCTTCTTATGTTTTTGAAAAATGCATGAGTATAAATGAAGTTGCAGGTATGCTCTTGTCAACATTGGACTTCAAGCTCCTCCACCACCTGAAACAGTCCCCCCTGGAAATAAACAGAAAGGCCACAGAGAAAGGAGCCATGTTTTTATTCAAAATAGCTTATATGTTTTACTCCAGGTCGAGCTAATATGGCTTCTGAATTAGTGTTATGCAGACAAAGAACATTAGCATTTTATTATGCTTTTAAAATCTTCAAAGCTATTTTTCTACATACTTCAAAAGCCGTTGATGACACCTTTTCCAGCACAATATGTCACCAAGACATTTTTCTCTCCATTTTCCTTTCATAATCTATGCCAGGCACTGTATTAAGTCATTCAATTGGGGACAACAATTCTGAATTCCTATTAAGGGAAATATGAGGAAAATGTGTGATTTAATGGGAAAGTAATAAAATGAAAGGGGCTTTTTAAAGATCATTTACTATTTTCACAATTTTCACTTGTGAATATGGTCTAAAGCAGCCAAACCACCCTAGCCTCAACCAGCCAGGACAAAACAGGAGCCTGCAATACTAGAGACTCTTACAAGCTTTTGGATGCCCCTTTCCAGAGCAGCTCCCTCCCAGTGCTCTGGGTTTGTCCATTTTCCTTCTGAGCTCTCACATCTTACCTGGTATCTCTTCCCCAAACATGGTTGCCCTCAGCTTTTATTTATGTTGTAAAGTATTTGAGGGCCAGTGAAAGGCAGGAAGAGAATTTGTGCAGAGGGAGGCCACTCCAGGGTTGGCCAAGAGACAAGTCCTTCTACCATGTAGTCTTTAAGCTTTAGGAGAAAAAAAATGACTAGCTTAGCTCTAGTTGAATTTCTTACACAAAAAGTATTCTCTATCTAGAGAATGAAGATTTCTTTACTACAAAAGTAAGCAATCATTTGAAAATGGTATTTCAATTTTATCTCAGTAAAAATGATGCATTATGAAAGTATTTGTGAATGGAGTATAAAGAAGTAAAAAAAAATCTATTACACCTGGGAAGTAAATATTTAGGAGAAGAGCTTTTGGGGGATAAGATAATAACATTACTTTGTAGCAGCTTTCAAGTCATGTACAAATGTGATTTACATTTTACATAGTGTTCATAAATGGGAATATAAAATCATTTGAATAAAGGCTTCTCCCTTCCTCTTGCACTTAGTTATTAATTACACAAGACATGTCTAGTAAAGCTTTGTTCTGTTATTTTATAAGGCCTGCCTATGATGCTATTGTCACAGAAATGTTATGGAAAACAGTTTCTCCAAATACTGGGAAACCTGCTATTGAAAAAAATTTGTCTTCACACTTAAAATTCATAAAGGCTTTGAATATCACATTATCATGATCACCAAAAAGTATTCATGATGTTCAGCATACTATTTTAAACCCTGATTTGGCCTTTTAGGTAGAGAACACCTTTTATATGAAAGATTTACATAAGAGCACTCTGGATGAGGACACTTGTGGTATGCTTTTAAATATTACCACACATTTTATGATTAAGTAGATAACTATAATTAGTCAAATGTTTCAAAGAAATCAGTCCTAATTTCTGAAAAGAAATCAAAGTTGCAATGAAAGAGCTATATATTGTTTCCTTGTCTTTTTCCAGAGAGTCATGAATCAAAGGAATTAAGTTTTAGAACTGTCTCTAACCTATATTTATCCTTTTCTCAAGCAAATTTTCTGATGTTTTTGTGTTCATATGAATAAAGAAATGTTTAACCATAATACAGATAGCTTACTACTCTTACTTAATCTTTTACACATAAAATTTTCACGACATTATCATGCCAGTACCACTTTCTTCATTTACATATTTAAGACTGTGGGCTGAAAAATTAAGAGCATAGAACATACATTAAAATTTTAATTTTCTAAAAGTGGAGAATGAGAAGTTGATTTTAAGGAAAAATACATTAATGTGAAAAACATTGAATTTTTTTAAAGGATAGCGTTTTGCTAAGAAATACAAAGTAATGTATTCAGTGTAAAATATGACTTGCATTGTTTAACCTTTGTACTAATGAAATAAAACATCATCCTTCTGAAATGATGTATGTTCAATATCATGTTGATATTAATATCAATAATACTTTTCATCAGATTAACCTAAACTGTTACATATACATTCTCTATTATCTAAACTTAAGTAGCAATTTTGTTTTATGTCATTATTTTTATATTTAAGCAGTGCTCAAGTTGAGTCTAGTCTCTAAAAGTGTTGTTTAAAGATGAAACTTGGTATGTGATGTCATTCCCATGATAATGTGTCTTGTTTAACTTAAACATTTAAAAAAATATTTGATTCAGATGCAACAAGAGTTGGATAAAAATATGACTGATGAACTAGAAGAATGTATGTTGCCAAAATTTATGAGTTAAATGGGGATTAATTACTTGGATTCTGAAATAAACTGTAAGTAGCAAATGGTTTCCCTTTCCAGTGTTTGATTAATAGATAGTACATTAAGGTGTTTTTTTTTTTTTGCTTGCACACATCTAATGAAAAATGTAAAAACAAATATTCATAGTGAAGAATACACTTAATCCTCATTTATTCATCATGTTCTATAGTTTCTAAAAATCTCAAAGTCTGTGTATCTTTTTTTCATTTTCATCCTCGTCCTAGCTATATTTTAAGGGCTAACATTTTAATATCTCTTGCTTACATCCTTTATTCCCTTTTCTTTATCTCCTTTCAATATACTTGCTTGGCACAGCCAAAGCTACCCAAGAGAATAATTATTTCTTCCGTTACCTTCACCCAGGTGCTGCTGAAGAAAATCACACAGTGCTCAGAAGTCCTGCAGATTCTCTTTGTTGGGAAAAATGCCAAAATAATTTTCTCATAAGCCTGTTTGTGTATAGGGCCGAGCCCGTGGTGCACTCGGGAGAGTGCAGCGCTGGGAGCGCAGCAGCGCTCCCGCCACGGGTTCAGATCCTATATAGGGATGGCCGATGAGCTCACTGGCTGAGCGCAGTGCGGCTGGTCACAAAAAGGACAAGGGTTCAGATCCTATATAGGGATGGCCGGTGAGCTCACTGGCTGAGCGCGGTGCGGCTGGTCACAAAAAGGACAAAAAAAAAAAAGTTTGTGTATTAACTTTTCCTACCTGGCCCAGGGCACATACTCAGGTACAGCAGGATAATATTAACAACTTGCACAGACTTTGTCTTGGCGTGCATGGAGGAGATCTATGGCAAATTTATCCATACACTACTAGCCCATGAGCTGAAGCTCATCCAAATGCCTTGCAGGCTGAGGCAGGTTCATTGTTCACTTCAGCAGAAGTCAGAAGCATTTTTTACACCACCTTTCTGATGGAATAACTCCCATTGTAGGCAAAACCCCTGCAGAGTCCATGTATGAGTGGGTGCTATATGCAAATAAAGGTATGTTTCCTCCAACACTTGGATGTTTCTGTAACTACCCTAGGTATAAATCACAGGGTTTTTACTAGAGTCGAGTTACTGCCTGCCTTTCCCACATGCAGCATTAGAATCCCAGAGGGCACACAGCACTTCTGCAAATGGAATTTCCAGTTGTTAGAAACTGCAAGCCAGACATAGACTAGTCAGACAGTACAGTGGACAGGGCCCTTAACATGGCCTTCTACACCCAGCCAACAGTTCCATCCAAATAACTGAGGTCAGGGCCGGCCCGGGGGCGCACTGCGCTAGTGCGCCGCTTGGGAAGCGCGGCGGCGCTCCTGCCGAGGGTTCGGATCCCACATACAGACCGGTTCCCGCTCACTGGCTGAGCGAGGCGCGGGGGCAGCACCGAGGGTTGCGATCCCGTTGCT